GATACTACCAAATCTGCTGAATCATCCTCGTCATATGGCAATGGCATGATGCCTGTCGGATCAACATCGTACGGTGGTGAATCATTATATGGTAGTAGTATGAAATCTGCTGAGTTATCATCTCTTGGAAACAATGATAAGCATGGTGGTAGATCATCAGCATTTGGCAATGCCATGAAGTCTGTTGGATCAACATCTTATGGTAGCAGTGGTAGTTACGATGGTTCATCATACGGCAAAAGTGGTAGTTATGGCGCAACTGATGCATTTGAATTAACTGGTCTACCTTATGGTCTTCAAGCAACAGGCGAATATCTTAACTATTATCCAGAAAAACTTGATCTATCTAAATGCGGACCTCGTAAGATTTTTTGAATCATTGAAACTCATTATGATTCTATTTTTTCTATTATTATTCTAGAACCACCGAAAAATCCATGTACACTCAATAGTCTACAATATTATCCATTACCTGGTTATCCACATTGTTACATTCAGTGTTCATTTGAACACATGTTTGTTAAGCCATGTCCACCTGAGCTTGTTTGGAATGCACTCATAAATGTTTGTGATTGGCCAACAGCTCCTTATTCAGCTGATGATAACAGTTATGGTTCTTCATCCTATAGTAACAACAACTATCAAAGTGGATCATCTTATTCATATGGACGAAAAAAACGTTCGACAATTGAACGCAAGAAACTATTCAGACATGGTAATCCATTCCCGTCTCTAACTAAATTGGATGTACCCTTAGGTAAGTGATTCTGTTGTTTTATTTGATATTGAATTTAGTTTTATCTCTAACTTGTATTTTTCTGTTAGGTCCATCTGTTCCAGGTGTTGTTCCGTTACCGGGTTTTACCGGTCCTATTTGAATTGCAGGTCCACTTGTTCCACCACCAACTCCGTAGGCTATTTCTAACATATTGATTCAGATGTATATTTATCTATTTATTTTTAGTCCACCAATTATCAATGCTTCATCTATAGTCAATACTAATTATGAATGTATTAAAAAATAAATACTTAAACTCGAAGACTAATCTTAAAAAATTTTGACTGTTTATCATTGCATGCTTGTAAGCATTACCGCTAAGAGATATCGGAAGTCAATTGTAGATCAAAGAACAACTATTGATATATTGCAGTAGAGTGGCGAACAAAGAATAGCAAACCATTTAAGTATCTAACAATCACTAGTAGAGCACGTAGTCTACTGACGATTTTTGTAACGTTTGAACCACATGAATTTATACCTTGTTGTTAATGTTAAATACACGATGAAAAAACAAGTTACAAATTTCATACTAATCTTGTATTAAAAACTTGTTATACTCAGTAACATTTAAGATTATAAAGTGACTAATCATGAAAGTTTGCCTAGTCATTAAAAAACTAAAATATAAAAGATTATTTTCTTTCTTTTTTCTTAAATCATCAAAAGAAAATTAAAAAAAAAAAATTTATACTATTATCAATTACTAGAAATTCAGTTTTGTTTAACATAATATAGTTTGTCTGTATTAATAACAAAATAAATCTTGATGATATCGAATTAAATCAAGAAGAAAAGTAAAATACTTTGTATATCTTATATTAAATAATGTCAATTGAAATCTATAAAACAATCAAAATTTGTTATGAAGAAAATTCATTTAAGTGCTTCGATTAAACTGATTAATAATATTTATTATAAATAAGTATTATAATGGATGATCCATAATACATGGCTATACTTTGGATTGCATATTTTAATCCCTGAATACATTTATTAAAAAAAAACAAAATATACCAGAAGATACAGTGTGAAGAACTCTACAATCTACAAAGTAAAGCTTATTTCAATTGTAGTTTTTGTTTTCAAAAAAAGCAAAATGCTGTGATTGTTCGTGTTGTTTTGAAAATAAAAAGTATACAATTAAAATAAACTATTCTTTGCAAATTGTAGAGCATTTTACGCTGTATCTTGTGATATATTTTGTTTGTTTGTTTTTTATAAAATATATTAAGTGACAAAAAGATGAAATTAGAGAAAAGAAATTTTTCGTTGGTGTAGAGAAAAAAGGGTGTTGGCACAAATGTAAAAATTGAGCGCATAAAATTTTGCTCTTTTTGAAAACAAAAAGTGGGCAATCGAAATAAACTTTACTTTGTAGATTGTAGAGCTTTTCAAGCTGCACCTTGTGGTTATTTTGTTCTTTTTAATAAAACGTATTTAGGGATTAAAATATACAATGTAAAATGTACCCATTTATTATGAGTCATTCGTTACTTTTAAACTCTTCTCGAGTAATATTATCTCGGCAAATAAAATATATTTATTATTATATTAATGTGTACAAATGTTTAATTTTGTGCTTCTTATTTTAAATATATAATTGTAAGACAACAGAAGATAATAACACGATAGATTCTATCAATATCAAAAATCACTGTTTCATGACCAAATATTTAAAATTAAAAGAACAAAAAAGCTGCACATAAAATCCTATGTCTGTATATCTATACGTGTATAGATCAATGTAAACATAAATCTATTTAGTTTACTTGTTAATATTAATCATGATGTTTTTTTTTTTTATTAATATGTAATATCAATGAAGCAGATGATGAAAACGAACACAGCGATTTTCAATTTTTGCAATTCTTTTTTTTGCATGGATTATATGTGTTGTTGACCTTTATACAAGAAATTGATCAGATTGTCATAAAAATCCATAAGCAATTTTGAAATAATTACTTTCTCATTTTTTTTATCATCAATATCAAAAATGAAATTATTAATGCTGTTTTTTTTTCGTCTCTTCAAGTATTATGCTGACATTCTGAGTATATCGACACGATTTATGATTGATCAAATATATCAATAATAAAAATTTTCTTGAATTGAATCAATAAAATCAACGAAGAAACAATATGAGACACTAGATCAAATTGAATCGAAACTAAATCGACATCAAGGATTTATTTTTCTTTTTTATTGATTCTTACTTTTTCTGAATTTATGTAAATATAAAATAAACTGAAAAGAAAAACTTGGATTTCAATTTGAAAAGGTTGATTATAATTTGCTGCTATTATCACATATATATGTGCTTCTAATGATGCAAAAATAAAATGAACGCTTCCTATCATTTCGCTATGCATTGTTACAAAAATTAAAAATAGCTTTTCATATAAGAGTGTAGCTTATTGTTGATTTTGGTATGAAAGAGAAACAACAGCTTCATTGTGTTTATTGATTTAAGTTTCTCTTGCACGTTTAAAGCTCTTCAATAAATAAAATGAAAATGAATCGCATAAAATAAGTAACAAGCAAGAAAATGCCTTCAGGGTACCTCATAAAATAGCACTACAATAAAAAATTCGAATATTTTCATTTCAGTTCAATAAAACGAAACGGTTTTTTGGCTCGTAATAGAACTTTATTCAAAAAAAATTTTTTTTTTTCATATGGATAATGTAAGCAAATGCTTCTAATAAGTGTTATTGTTGACTTAACTAAATAAATTTGATCTTTTATCCAATAAGAAAAATACATACAAAGCGTGTCATAGTTGTTATCTAAAAGAATATCGAGAAGAATTCAAAAAAAACTTTATCAATAATACCACATTGATGCAAATAGATTAAATCTTCAGAACTGTCTTGTTTAAATGCTACAATTCGTGTCCGAAAACTGAAACGCAGAATTAAGATCCGTTGGACATCGAATCATCAGCTTCTTTGAAAAAATTCAGTGTTCTATCCTTGAAAACTAAAAATATTGTATTCATTGATTTTTTAAACTAACTACCTCTCAAAATTTGATCTATTTGCATCAATATTGTATTATTCATAAAGTTTTCTTTTTTTTGAATTCTTCTTACTATTCTCTTAGATGACAACTATGAAACGCTTTATATGTATTTTTCTTACTGGATAACAGATCAAATTTTCCTTGGTAAAGTCAACAATAACACTGAATAGATGTATTTGTTTACATTATCCATACGAAAAAAAATTTTTTGAATAAAGTTCTACTATGAACCAAAAAACATCATATCATTTGATTGAATCGGAACGGAAATATTTGAAATTTTTATTGCACTGCTATTTATGGAACACCTTGTACAATTTATGATATTTTTTTAATTTTCGTCTGTTTTTTTGTTCTATTGAATTTCTACATATCACAAGCGACAAATTGGATTTTACATCTTCAATCCTTAGACACAAGAATAACTCTACAATAGATGTAGTTCAATAGTTTAAAATCAGATGAGATATAGAATCGTCAAAATTTACATTTGGTAGGAATTAAGATGTGCAAGCAGTTTTTTCAATAGAAACTATATCTTTATAAGGAGTTCTTTTGAATAGAACTGAGCTGTTGTTACAACGAAAATCTATTTTTAAAACAGAACAACTTCGTTCTATTATTAGAAATGAAAATTTTTCGAATAGGTAACTTTCAAGAACTATTTCTAGCGATCAGTTTCTATCTGAAAAAAAAATTTTCAATAGTTTCTCAGATTGGAACTATACAGAGTGTCGCACACTCATATCAATAACAGATTCTACATTATTAAATCATATTTTAATAATTCAAATAGATTGAGTAAATATGAAACGGTTTAATGATTAAATCAACCCAAAGTAAAAACATCGAAAATTCAAATCTGGTTGTTTTTTGACCACAGATTTCTCTCTCATTATTACTGTTATGCTGTATGCATGTGTATATTCTGTTGATCAAAAGTTTCATCTCAAATTTACAACATTTTCATTTTTCGACAACTTGCTCTCGACATTAAGCAAATTTACTATATGACTATAAAAAAAAAAAGAAACGAGATTTACTCCTAAGAATACATTGCTCATTCGATACAACATTTAAAAAAACCGTGTTGTTTAACAACTGTAATATAAGATCATATTTGATGCCTCGGTACAAACAAAACATTGCTCGTTTTTTTTTCTGCAATGACAGTAGGTATATTATGGCATTTCAATACAGTTGTGCCGTTGAATATGAAGCCATATTGAAAAATAAACAATAGTTCCATTTGCCTGTAAAAAAAAACACAGTATTTCTTAAAATAGAAAGAAACATAAGACTTGATTTCTTTGTTGATCTTTTTTCTTCCGTTCTATTTTTTTAGAAACCTTACAAATCTAAAAAAAAAATCTATTGACAAAGCATCAGCTTTTTGATTGCATCTATTTCTTAATACATCTCGCTCCCGTTTTTTTCAACTATTTTATAAGTAACAGTTGAAATGAAATATTCCAAACAAGACAAAAAAAACGAACGAGAGTAATGTCAACTAATCTTCGTCAGATTGATCTCGGACGCAATCAGCGTCTGCTGTACACATTTTTTTTTTGTGTTAATCCAGTTCGAGCACAAAAATTTTGTACTTAACAGACTTTTGTTTCAACAGAGAAAAAAAGAATTTTTTGCACACATATAAATATGATTGTATTATGAAGGATATATGTATTTTTAGATTAAACACGGAAAAATGGTCGATCCTCGTCAATATTTATTTCCATTAATATTATTTCTTTTTCAAATTGTATTCACATTTTTACTTGGCTTTCATAGTGAGTATAAATATTTTCCTGCTTCAAATGTTACTGATTATGAAAGTCCATCGCGTGGTCTTGTGGAGTTTTACTATGCTATGTTTACTGATATACATGTTATGATGTTTATTGGTTTTGGATTTTTAATGACATTTTTACGTCGTTATTCATTTTCATCTGTTGGATTTAATTTTATTTTATGTGCTTTCACATTAGAATGGGCTATAATTCTACGTGGTTATTTATTTGATTGGGATAGTACAACTCAAAAATTTATAGTTGATGTACAAAGTTTAGCAACAGCAGATTTTGTATCAGCTAGTATACTTATATCAATGGGTGCTCTTTTAGGAAAAGTAAATTCTGTTCAATTAATAGTAATGTCATTTATTGAAGTACCTATACAAGTTGTTAATGAATGGATAGGTCTACATTTATTTTGTGGATTTGATCCTGGTGAATCTATGTATGTTCATGTATTTGGTAATTAGACGAATTCTATTTTTATATTTGATAAAAAAAAAAGAAATAAGTTTGTTTTTTTGTTTGATTTTTATTTTCTAGGTGCATATTTTGGTTTAGCAGCTACATTTGTTTTATTTCGTTCGGATTTTCTTGATTCTCCACTAGAAAAATCACGTTATACATCCGATTTATTTGCAATGATTGGTTCAATATTTCTTTTTTGTTTTTGGCCATCATTTAATGCGGGTGTTACAACTGGTTCGGATCGTATTCATGCTGTTACAAATACATATATATCAATATGTGCTTCAGTTATTGGAGCTTTTCTTATGTCATCACTTCTTAAAAAAAATAAATTTGATATGGTTCATGTACAAAATTCCACATTAGCTGGTGGAGTTGCAGTTGGAACAGTAGCAGGTTCAAATATTGGTCTTCATGGCGCGATGGTTATTGGTACACTTGCTGGTATGATATCAGTTTTAGGTTATAATTTTGTTTCACCTAGATTACCAAATATACGTATTCATGATACATGTGGTGTAAATAATTTACATGGAATGCCTGGATTAATGGCTGGTATAACAGGAATTATTGTTGCTTCGATTGGTGATCGTTCAGGTTTTTCAAAACATTTAACAGATACATGTCGTGGTGGTGGAAAATCTCGAGATAGTAGTACACAATCTGGTTTTCAAGCAGCTGCACTTGGACTTACATTAGGTATGGCTATTGTTGGTGGACTTATAGCAGGTATGATATTACGATTACCAATATTTGCTCAAAAAGGGAAAGATTTTGATGATGAAGAAAATTGGCATTTACCTGAAAATGAAAGTAAAGAAGATATTACACGTGGTATAACAATGGCACGAACAGCTTTATAAAAACAAAAAAACTTTTCATAGACTTTGATTGATTTGTATGAGTATTTTTTGGATGAAAATTTTTTTTTAAATATTTTCTCATTTTAATAAATTTTATTCCTTTTTTTTTCTTTTTTTTTTTCTAATTATATTAATATTTATTTAATTATAAGCTTATTGAATAATCACGAAAAGAGAATAAATTATAATTGTTTAAAAATCAAAAAAAAAAATTTTACTTACAAGTTTTAACTGTTCAAATTTAGATTGAAAATAATCTATGATCAACAATCATGACAAATATAAAATAAATCAAATCCTTTTGTTAAACAAATCGATTGATGTATAAATATTTCTTCTATTTTATAGATAGAGTATTAAACAATAAAATCCATAATCCTATGTAAACGATTAATAGGTCATCATGTCATCGTAGACCTTTTTTTTTTCTTTCTATTTCATGTAAGATAGTGTTTCTATATCATTGGTGAATAATAACCAAAACAAATGCGTTTATTTCAAGCTAAACGTGATATTCTGTTTCTATCATCAATTAGCTATTTGATCAATCATTTTCCTATTGTAATACATTTTTTTGTTTCTGTGTATGTTGGAATCGACATAGTGCAAATAACGTATACCAATGTCTATTGATGATGTAATAAAAGCTTTTAAGTATCAAACTCTCATATGGAAAAAATCTTTCCGACTTTTAGAATTGATTTTAATACATTGTCACTTTAGTTTAGAAAAAAAAAAAAGGTCAAGATGTAGCTAGAGGTGTTTCTTATTTGTTAATTCCTTGCATAAAATATAATCTGTTTCTTTCTTTTTTTTTCTTAAATCTATCTTTTATTCATAAAAATGTCATTTAATAGCAACAACAGTTATATGAATATAATTCGATAGTACTTGAATTAGATTTTTCTTTGTTTTTTTGGTCTCTCAATTAATTGATGTACTCAAACATTACTTAAACAACCATAAAAAAAGAAAAGATCAACTTGAAAAATCTAAATAAATTGTCGCTATCAGTTTTGTCTGTATGATTAGTGATAGAGAATGTTTGCAATATTGTCCTTCATCTCTTCCATCTGTTCTTTGTTTCTCATCTATATATATACATATATGAGATCAGACAACGAGACAATCCTAGTAGAGTTGAGTAATCCAGTACCTCAGTGATTCTGTATATATATATATATATTGATTATAACAATGAACTATAGAATAATAGTGAATGCACTTTGATCATGTCTTTGTTCGTCGGTTCTTTTTTTTTTCTTTGAGAAAAAAAGAGAAATTTGAACTCATACTACCGCTGTTTGTTTCTCTTGTTTCAATTAATACTTTACTCTATCATTATTCCAACTGTATATGAACGTACACACATACACACAGAACATTTAGAAACAGCAGGTCATACAATTGTTTGTCGCGTACAATTGTCGTTTTTCCGCTTGTATGCAGATTGGATATATTCACTTTGTTCTTTCTATTCTCGGCAGTGCACTTCCTTTCGTCGTCGTCGTCGTCGTCTTTTTATAATAAGCAAGAGAAAAAATCAAATCTTCAAACAAGTTCTATTCTAATTGTATGTATGTGCTTGAATTTAATCAGACTGGCAGGAGGGAGAGAGAGAGAGAGAAAAAGAGTTATTCAAGTGTATACCTTGACTAGACCACCGACAACATTAAATATCCAAATGCTTATGGATCATTAAACATAGGTGAATAATTCTTTTTCTCTTTTCTGACCTCTATACTCTTTTTTTTTTATAATTGTCTCATAAAAATGCTTATCTTTCTCTTGTTTAATATTATTTCACAATTAATTTTGGGTGTAGAATAAGAAAACAAAAGAATTTTGTGTCCTTGAATAATCTTCATTGTGTAGATAGACTATAATAAAATAAACATGACGAAAGCCGAGGGATTTATATATATATATGTGCGCGTGAATGCACGCTGTTTAACGTTCCAGTAAGATGAGTTCTTTTTTTCAATTTGTCCAAGGTCCATAATTTCCTCCTCACAATCGCTTTCATACAATTCTCTATAAGCAAAGATGATAATCAGTCATGCTTTTTTTTTCTCTCTATTTCTCTCCTCTCTCTAGTCTTATGCACGCATGCACCGCATCAAAAGTGAACACACACACACGCTCAACTATAATTATGTGTATGTGTTCTTATTCTATGGACAAGACAAAGAGAAAAAAAATCGAAACAGAGAGAGAGAGAGAAAGGAAGAAGAGAAAAAGAGAGAGAGATGGAAAAAAAAGTCATTTGAATAATGAACGAGTGATGCTGCTGACATTACTGTAACGTTCTTCTGACATTATTCTTCTTTTTTTGTTTTGTTTTGACTAGATATAAAATGAAAGAAACGACGTGATTCAAATAAAAAAAGAAAAAAGTTCATATGATTTCAATTTTTATCATTAGTTTTGGTTTATTATTATCTTCAACAATAATATTATCAGATGATTATTTAGAAAATTTATCTGTTAATACAGGTGAAACAGCTACATTTATATGCGATTCACCAGAAAAATACTCGAACAAAAAAGTATGTTCTCATGTTATTTATCATTTTTTCTTTTTTTTTGTTCTCTCTACAATAAAATAAGCATAATAAACATGATTACGTCGTATCCACACATGGGAAATATATATAATATAAAAAAGATTAGAATGACATATATGACAGAATCGATGTATTCTAGGCGGATTTCTATGGACCCACGGGACGTTTATTAATAACTAAAACGGACGAAGATATTGCTAGTGGTGATCGAGCACGATTTATACTTGAACATACGTATGTATCACATTGATTACAGACAAAAGAAAAATTCAATATTTTTTATTGTTTTTAGATATGCATGGACTTGGTCTTTGATATTATCTGATGTATCGGATGATGATGCAGGAGAATACACGTGTCGTATTTCATCTTCATCTGATGATCAGACATTGACAATCATCAAACGATTTAATTTAACCGTTTTAAGTAAGCTCATATATATCTCACATACATCTGTGACTCGATTTGATCAAGAAAGGCGCTTCCGATTGTTATTTGATGAGAAATAAACAATATCTTTTTAACACCTACAAAAAATTTGTACAAAAAAAAAAATTTTTTTTCTTTTTTTTCTCACCTGATGGCGAGACAGGTTTTATATAATAATAGAAGACTCCCTATAGCGTTCTCACACCTTTTCTTTTTTTTTTTTTTTGTTAGGTTTCATTAATCGAACTATTAAACATCTATACATTTTGTCTTTTTCACTAAAAGTCATAGTTGCGATGTCTCGAATGAAGTGTTTTTAAAAGTGCTAGACAAATTTGATTATATATTCTTTTTTTATTTTTATTTTATTCTAGTACCACCAAAAATAATTGATATTATAATTGAATCAAATAACAATGAATTACTTAAAGAAAACGAACAAATTATTTTGAAATGTTTAGCTCGAGGTATACCACAACCAAAAATTATTTGGCAACTACCAGGAAAAACATTTCAATTAAATAAACGAAATGATGGAAGTAAGAAATTTCGAAAATTTAAAATAAAAAAAAACAAACAAAAAACTAAATTTTGTTGTATTAGATATAGTTGCTTATGAAAATAAATTACTTATTAAAAATCTTTCACGTACAACACCAATTGATTATCAATGTATTGCTGATAATGGAATACCACCACGAGATACACGTACAAAACGTTTATTTCCATCTAGTAAATAGCATTTTTATTTCTATTATGTAAAAACAAAAAAAGAAAAATGTATATTTTATCATATAAATGAATACTCTTGAGTATTATGACTCAATTATCCAAATTAAGATAAAAAGAAAAGAAAAGAAAAACTTTCTTCTTTTTTTTTTCAACACAATAGGAGGTCGATGATAATATAATGATTAGTTTTAATGCGCTTATATATACTGATTGATTGTGTGCATATGTGATAAGCGACAAGACAATCTCGAAAGTGGACACATGTCTTTTCCTTCTGTCATTATAATCATCTACACCCACTCATTATTTTTTTTTTGTTTTAGTTTCACCTGAAATGACAATTCAATCATCAATAATATCATCGCATATAATACTTAATTGTACGATTATAGCTCGTCCATTAAATTCAGCTAAATGGAAACGAAATCGTTTTGAAATAAATACTATAAAACGTAAACAAATAAATGATTATACAGTTGAACTTATACTTTTATTAGATGTAAGTTAAAACAGATGTTAACAAGTGATTTCCAGCTGTGAAATAATATTATTTCATTTGTTTATATTTTATAACAAAAAAAAAAAAAAGAAAACAAATCTTCTTGATTTTTTCTAGGCAAATACAAATATATTTGGAATGTACGAATGTGAAGCTGAAAATCACTTTAAAGTTTCAAAAGCATTTATAAATATTGATGGTACGAAAAAAAAAAATTTCTTTTAAATTTAATAAAAGACAAAAAAAAATTTTTTTTTTCTTCTATTTCTAGAAACAATTTTATTCAATAGAACAACAACTTTATTGCCGAAATATCATCGAATATCACCATCGTCCTCATCATACGGTAGGTTTCATTACATCTGGCAAATGGAAAGAAGATTAGCTTTGTGAGACAGTCTAGAGCAAAAAAGAAAAGAAATAAATGAATGGTAGTACTAAAAGTGTGTGTTTGTTAAGGGCGGCATCCTTACAAGTTGTTGTTGTCCAAGCATATACAATTAATCTCATCTTTGAGTGGACATGACGTGTTTAGAATAATATCTTGTTCTCTCATTTGCTTATACATCCTATGTCAATAGACATTCTAATGATTTCATTATGTTATTTTTTGATTTCTTTTTCTTTTTCCTTTTAAGCACAAATTGAACTTCTACTTAATCAAACATCAATTTGTACATATAATTTTTATATTATTTTGTTTATTAATATTATTCTTGTTAATTATTCAAATGGATTTTATAATAAACGATGAAAAATCATAATTAATAATG